GAAGATACAAGAGATACATAAAGTGCAAGAGAAGATACCCCTGTGTTAAAGTGCATTTAGCGTTGATTGCAAATGACTGATTTACTCAGTAAGAAGCCGAACAATAAGCGGGATAATATGCAGGTATCAAGTAATTTTTGCAAAATTAACCCCTTCAAGGAGATTTAAGAGCCCTTTCTCAACTAAAAAGTACTAACTCTCTATCTAAATCGTGTTTTTTTTGTTTAGTAAGATATTTTTGGGGCCAGGGAGTGCCTTTGTTGGAGTTGAAGAAAAGGAGGAGATAGATGGGATGACATTGGCTAAATTGTTTGGCGGGTTCGGGAGTCGTACCTGCTTACTTGGCAGAAGACACTGCATATAGGCCGCCGGATAGCTCAGTGTTTAGAGCTGAAAAATAGAGCTAAATAATGTTTTAAGATGCTTTATAACAAAAGTTATTAAAATCTAAATTTGCATCTTTATAAAAGCCATTCAGAGCTGTTTACAAACCAATTCTCCACCATTGACAAAGTATCTATCTATCCATGTAATGTTTTATAGATCTCATTATACATTAATACTAATATAACATTTATAATGGGTACAAAAAAAAAGAAAAGATTTGTAACATTATCATCCATAACTTTGTTATAATCATGTCATTGTTTGTTAACAGTAAATTCTAAATGGACAGCATTTATTGAGCACTATTCTAATATTAGCGATGTGCATTCATACACACATTCCTAGGCTACCATACAAGATGCCATCTGCTCGATTAATATTCACACGCAGATACAACCATGACTGTGCCTTTGGGAGCAATGTTGGGTTTAGTACCTTACCCAAGGACACTTGGACATATGCTGCAGGGGCCAACGAAATTACGAATGGTGGATAATCGCTCCTGAGGTGCACAACTGCCCCAAGTAAAATAACTATTATTTTAAGTTTGATTACCAATGAATTAACCAGTTGACATATTTTCATAGGCCAACCCAGAAGTTAGTTTCATAATGGCTACCTCAACTTAAAGCTAATGGGACTTGTCCATTGTGTTTTGTAATATTGCAGAAAATAAGAACTTTGGCAAACACACGTTTTGTTCAGCAGGAAAATATCTACTTATTAAACCCACTTTTATTATAGTTGAAGTGTAACTGCAATTGCAAAAAGTAGATCGCTAACCTTAGGATATAAACAAGCGTCACGGTCACATGACTTCACGTCAACTTCACGTCAACACTGCTAAGCTAAAGGCAAACTCATGTTTGTTGTCATGACGTTTTAGTAGTCTAATTTAGTCACTTGTTACTGCTGCTGTTATTTCACGTTCAATCTAAGGATGTCTTCCAGAAGGTTATATACTGATTACTTTATGACGTAAGAACTCTTGATCTTGTACTAACCAAATACCTTGTTTTGGGAATCTACTCAAAAACGGAAAAAAACCAAACATTGACTTCGAGATAAGGGAGGCCAGAAGTGCTTTGTTGAGGATTAGCAACCGAAACCCTACGGTTTTGGTCCGCTCTCGTGGCCTTTTATCAATGTTGTTCCAGCAGTAGACAGCTGTTTGCAGCAAAACCCCCTCTGTGAATCCTTCTATGTCTGTAATTGAATTGGCTTCTCTTTCTACATCTCACTGTAGGGATGGTGTTGGTTTGACAGACAAGGGCAAACAACCTTGTCGGTTGCTATCCAGCTGTAAACACTCTTCGACTTGGTTTTTTAAGGACATTGACTCGCTGATTTGGAGAAATTTCCAGAACTCCAAAAACACAGCAGGAACAGTAACTGGACTATAACATTTAGTACCATGGGTGTTTCCTACATGCATAGTTCAACAGGGACCGACTGAAATCCCAGCGTCTCGATGACACCTGCCATGAAGACGCTGCACCTTCTGACAAGAATAGAAATATCACTTTAATATTCATAATATTCCCCTGGAAACTAATAGCTAGCCTGAGGTGGCCATAAGATCCTTATAATGAGTGTGATGTACTTTGGGATATTTTGCATCTACTGCAGTGTCAGGATGGTAGTCATACAATATTGCCTCAGGGAATTATGCGCCTGTTGTAATCAATAGTGAGTTAACTATGTCCAGATTTTACTGACAGCATGCAGCAGTGTCTTTTTACTTATCTCTCTAGGGGAGACCCCTACTGGAGGATGGGAGGGGAGTGGGGGAGGGCATCGAAATAGCAATATCCTCAAACAATATCTGACACAGGATGTCAGTTTCTGCTGTCGTCCCACTGCACCTGACTGCCTGTAAACACACACACACACACACACACACACACACACACACACACACACACACACACACACACACACACACACACACACACACATAAAGTTGGCCACTCACTGTAAGCCCTTACTTGCTTACTCATCCTCTGCAGCTATTTTACAGAGTACTCGCTGGCACACGCAAAATTATTTTCTCACACACACACAAATGAGAGGGCACCATCATGGGGATATTAATGGAGCTGGAGACACACACGGAGTCAATTGGGCTTTTAATGGAGCAGCTCCTTTTCCTCTGTATGGATAAATAATACAGCAGTCAGCAAATCTAGATCTAATAAATGATATTGACCTTTGGGGTTGGAAAATGGGAGATAGAAAACAAGGGGACGGGATGGTGAGGAAGATGGAGATAGACAGGGGGGAATAGAGAGCAGGGTTGAGATGTGGAGGGATACACACAAGTGTCAATAGAAGCGCACTACTCAGACAAAGCATCTTAATCACAGTGCGACAAAGCGGTGATCAATCACCAGGATGACGATGTAGCAGAGAGTTGCAGTGCCGAGAAGGGGCCCTGACCTTAGCTGCACTGCGGATAGAGAGGCGAGTACGGGCCCTCGGAGACTCTCTTTCTTTGCTTTTATCATCTCTCTTTGTCTTTTCTCTCTCCCTCCCTCCTTTCTTCACTGCACTGGTTCTTACCTTCCTTCTCTATCCCTCCACATCTCCCTCTTTCCATTTTGATTACTCTCTGCCCCCTACTCCCTCCTTTCCCCCTATATTTCTGTCTGGTACCCACCATCTGTCATCCGTTGCCTTCCTCTGTCACCACTGCCTCCATCTCCCACTCATTTTCCCTCCCACAATCCAATTCAAGGAGCTTTATTGGCATCATGAGATGAATTTTACTGTTTCTCTCACTATTGTTGTGGAACATTTGTCTTCCTCTTACTAATTTCCCCACTTTTAATGCTTCTACAAAACTCTTTTGTGTCCTGTAAAGGTTGTATGAGTCACGGTCAGTGTACAAGGAGTCCAGTACACTCTTCAAGGCCTAGTATTTTACATTACACACAAGCAGCGTATGAGTGAATGCCACTCATTCACACTGTTTTACAACCTTGGATGAGGCACGAGTGTTGGGATGCAAAGCAACAGCCAGCCTAATAAAATAACTTTAAAGTACCCCTACCTTTCCCTTTAAAGTGACTGTTATGTGTACAGTGACACCATGTGGAAATGTGTGCAACAGATTAAAACATCAGTGCGATGTGCTGCCCTGCAGGAATACATCTTCTGCACATGAATATCTTTACATAGACCCAAAATACACATTTTAACCACTTTAAAGATCTTCTAAATGAAAACACATGTGTGCATGCAAAGACAATTTCATACATTGTGAAGCACATGTCTAAACATATAGCTGAGACCTGTTTATATAATGTTTTGAGACTGGAGGTACTGAAGTGGCTTGGTGGTGAATTTAACGTGGCTTGTATATTAATTACATAAACGGATCCATCTGTGTGTCTGTTGTGAATTAACTGGCTTACAGTAGTTGATCCCCAAAGAGGTCCGTGAACCACCAGGGGTCCCCGAACGTGTCCTAGTGGGACCCCACCACATACAAAAAATAACAAAAGAAGTATAAGCTATAATTTTCATGTTATAATAGCCATATTTTGCTCAGATGTCTGTAGATAGATGTCGAGCATATCACCAATTCTCTCAGCTGTGTTACTTGAAGCCTGTACATTAAATGAGGGTCATGAAGGAGTCATGCTGTTTCTAACTTGAACTTGTAAGTTAGCTGCTGACGTGACCAATGACCATGCAGACTTTATCTTAATTTTCCAAGAGAAAAGTCAGCACTTTGTCAGAGGGACCTCTCTCTGTACTATCCAGGAAGTGACGGTGAGGACTTAATGGGGTCGATACAAGCCGAGGGAGGTCGTCCCGTCTCCACAAAAGAAGTTGGGCCGAAGAGGAGCTCCATCATGCAAGCCAGAGACAGATGGAAGTACACAGGAAGTTGGGCCTTCAAATTAAGAGCATACGAAGTTGATAGCGGGAAAACAAATCTATTATATGAGTTATATAAGCAGATAGATTCCCTCCATTTGTATAATGTTCCCCACAAACTTAAGAAAAATAATAAAGGCCACTTTTCTCAAGATAACTGATGGGCCCGGGGACAAATTGGCTCCATTAACCTTCGATTCCTCCCACTCCATGAGAGCTGTTAGCATTTTTCTTTGCAGGAATACTACTACCTGACCCCAGACTTGCATTCTAGTGATATGATTAAATGTGTTAATCCATGAATATGGAACATACACACACACAAAACAAGACTGACTTAATGAAGGTCTTCGAACATCTTGTCAAGATTGTGTTATAAAGGGCGACCTATCATCATCATCATCATCATCATCATCATCATTATGTATCAGGTCATTTATTGCTGCAGTGTCTACACATTTTCAATGAGCCAGCACACACACTAGTTAATTGAAAAGTAGTAGACCTTTCTGGGCCCCTGAAGTATCATGCTGGATGTTACTTCTTTAATATGTAGCATGCCGGAACTAAACACCTACTAGGAACATTGTAGACACCCTCACATTTTATTTGGCTTACTTTATTCTTAAATAAGAAGAAATGTAGTTCCAAATAATATTTTGCAAAGAATTCCCAACCAGCGTTTTATTGTGAAAATTCAAACCGGAACATGTATGTTGCATCATGTCTCTTTTCATTTCTCTATGGCTGTGGGAAGGTGGTCCTCCTAGGAGAAAAACACCGTCCGGAAAAGCAAAAAAGTTGCATGTTTTCGTAAAGTTTCTTCAGCTTCAAAACACATTATGAAACTTCGGAAATGAAACAAAATTTCGCTAACACATGAAGTGGAGGATTGTAATTGTTTGTCCTCGGGAGTAAAGTTGGGAAACTACGAGTTGAAAATGGAGAGCCCAGCTGAGTGAGAGTGGGGTGAGGAGGCTGGATTTGGCAAAGTTGGGAGTCCTGCCCTGATGCTAACAGGCTAGTTAGCATGCTAAGACACTTTGTTATCTCGGATAAGTAATGAGGTGAGACTTTGTCAAGTTGACACTTTTAAAGTCGGGGTTATTTGTTAACGTTTTTAGACAGTTTGCTGTTATACCGATTGTTGCCAAAAATAACGGTCCACTGACTTTTTGGCTAAAGAAAAAACATTGATATGAGTGGGGCCTGGCCATTATAATTTTTTTATTTTACGTAAACTTTAATGCAGCTGTCCATTAAGTTGACGTAAATGGACTCGTGTCATGGGGTTTCCGCGTCTACTATATTTATAACTTTTTTAAGTTATGTTCAATTGAATGTTCTATTGTTGTCACTGAACATTTTAATTAAGTTGATAAACATGACCATCTGTGATAATAATGCAGCTATTTCTTACAATGGCAAAGATATCCCTTGTTTTCTTGGCCATTCACAACATGTTTGGGTAGCTGTATACTTTGGCTGAAATGTTCACAATATGGCCTCCTCAAGCAACTCAAATGGTGTGTTACTTGAGTGCTAAAATTAAGTTCTGCCTGTCAATGGCCTAATAGAAATCGGCGCTTGTTGTGTCAGCATTCAGCATATCATACCCATGTGTGAGCCTAACCATAATAACTCACGATTCATATTTTTCCTTTTCTACATTTCAGAGCTCCCCTCCACTGTTCTCCAGCCTGTGATTCTGCAGGGGAGCTGCTTTATCTGTGGCTGCTGACATTGCAGCTTCCATCAATGGATCGGAGCGTAGATTATCTTATTTTCTGTGGAAGTTCTGCTTGAATCTTTCTGCGTTTCACCTCAAGGCATAAACCTGTGTCGGGAACTTCTCTCCCTCCCCTGATCAATTATTTTTGTCCCGCGAGCTTCCATCCTAGCTGTGCTCATGCAGTTTTCAATCAAACATTCGACATATTTCTTCCTCTGAGATGGGGCCCTGGTTGGTTCTTCGAGGGGCTTGAGGTACCCCCCAGCCTGCCGATTGCGCAGTGTGTGTGAGACCCGAGGCACAGGGCCATAAAAGAACACTGTTACAAAAGACAACCAGTGATACAGTACTTGCTGATGGAGCCCAGACACACACCGTGCTTGCCCAGAATATATTCATGAATTTGGGGATTTTTTTTTAACCAGACTTAAGTGGATGTATCGGGTGTATTCGTGACTGCTGATGCCAGCTCGGGACTTGAGTGGGTGTAATCAGCTTTATTCATGAACCCTCTGTCTGAGTGAGGCCACAGCCTGGATGTTGGATGCCCTGAGTGTTGAATCAGCTGTTGCGGTGATGAAGCAGGGCTCCTGGGGGCCTGTGTGGCTGGCTGGGCAGCGGCCCAAGGTGATGTGATGGGGTGCAGGAACAGTAAGGTCCTCCCTGAGCCTCCAGGGGATGTTCAGTTGGACCTCGTCAAAAAGGTCAGTAGGACAAGGTCAACACCACACATGCTTTTGCTATTTCGATTTACACATGGCATCCATTGCACGTCTGTCCGTCCTGGGAGAGGGATCCCTCCTCTGTTGCTCTCCCTGAGGTTTCTCCCATGTTACCCTTTAAACTGTGGGTTTTCTCTGGAAGTTTTTCCTTGTACGATGTGAGGGTCTAAGGACAGAGGGTGTCGTATTGTCATACTTATATTCTGTACAAACTGTGAAGACCACTGAGACAAATGTAACATTTGTGATATTGGGCTATATAAATAAACATTGATTGATATTGTAAACAGCAGCAGAAACCATTACATACTCTACCATGAAGGCTATACTACAAGTATTTATATTGATAATATTAACTTATAAGAGCTGTGATTATCCATTGCATCAATTTTTTTATGTCAGAAAAGTTTTTCATCCGAAACCCAAAGATATTACATTTGGAGTTTCATAACACAAAACAAAGCAAATGTTTTTAAAAGCTTTAGCTAAATGTTTAACTAAAGATTTAAGAGTAGAACTGGAACAAGCTCAGTATCTTGGTCACACAAAAAAAAAAAACAACATAGGTTTGTTGTAAAGTTTTTTGTTTGATGTTATACGTTAATGTCAAATATAATTACTGTAAGCCAATATATTGTTCTTTTTGAACTCCCAAATATCAACATCTGTATCAACCTCAGAAATCCATTTTCGATTGGGCTAAACTATCTATATACTTCTGCTGCATTCCACTGCATAATGTGGCATGGCAAGGACTCTACTCTACTTGACTCAGTCTTTTTCAGTGTCCCATTTGCAAAAGATGCTGATAGAACCTGGTACTATCCAAGGTGGATTTCAAAGACTTTAGACCTGTGACTAGTCAGAGATTTTCAAGCTACATTTTTCAGTGGAAATAAGGCATATGTTTCTATTTGTGTGTCAAACTTAGTATCTCTCCAATCTTTTCCTTCTTGCTTAATAAAAATCTAACACGGTTTGTGTTCACCTCTGGTTTCTAATTCATCTGTGATAAACTGTTTTCCTTAATGTTTCAGGTTGATCCTCCCCAACCTCTTCAGACAGATATCTATAAGCACTTCATAAGAGGGGATGGCACTAGGAGCAAGATGGGCGGGGCCGGTGGAGGGGGCGGGGACAAGGCTGACCCCACCTCCCCATATCAGGCCCAGGCCCAAGCTGCAACTCCCACGGCTTCCGCCCAACCCCCTAAGGACCCGTCCGATCTGTCGGACCCTCAGCGGAAGAAGGTGGCAAAATACAGAGCCAAATTCGACCCCAGGGTCACGGCCAAGTACGACATCAAAGCTCTGATAGGCCGCGGGAGTTTTAGCCGGGTCGTTCGCGTGGAGCACAAAAGCACGCGGCAGCCATACGCCATCAAGATGATTGAGACCCGCTACCGAGAGGGGAGGGAGGTGTGCGAGTCAGAGCTGTGTGTCCTGCGCCGCGTCCGTCATACTAATATCATCCAGCTGATGGAGGTGTTTGAGACGGCAGAACGTGTGTACATGGTCATGGAGTTGGCCACCGGTGGGGAGCTATTCGACCGCATCATCGCACGCGGCTCCTTCACAGAACGTGACGCCACGCGGGTGCTGCAGATGGTTCTGGAAGGTGTCAAGTACCTCCACACTTTGGGGATCACCCATCGAGACCTGAAGCCGGAGAACCTGCTCTACTACCACCCTGGAGCCGATTCCAAGATCATCATCACCGACTTCGGTCTGGCCAGCAGCAGGAAGAAGGGGGACGAGTGTCTGATGAAGACCACCTGCGGCACGCCAGAGTACATCGCCCCTGAGATCCTGGTAAGGAAGCCCTATACGAACGCCGTAGACATGTGGGCGCTGGGGGTGATCTCGTACATCCTGCTGAGCGGAACCATGCCCTTCGAGGACGACAACCGCATGAGGCTGTACCGGCAGATCCTCAAGGGGAAGTACAGCTTCTCTGGAGAGGTGACGAGCCCCTTACACTCTTTCTCTATCTTTTCTCAGACACCACTGCAGACTTCACACACATTTGGAATACATTCCCCACACCGCATGAGGCTTTGTCAACAGTTTTTCTGGGAAGTTTTGTGAGGTGAAATGGTTCAAACACACACTTTCCCACACGCAACTTCGCTCCTCACTAATCATCTCACACTGATTTCTATCTGGTGTACCTTTTACCTTGCCATACACATTTGTATCCTCCTCTCCTAGTCAATATTCCCTCACTCTAATTACGTGTATGTGTGCACAATAATTTATGCTCTGTGTATCTAGTCGGGAGAATGCTGAGTAGTCCATTCCTTTGCTTCGTAGCGTGGGATGTTTATGTTGCCAGTGAGCTTTACAAACGGGGCCCTTGGTTAATGGTTGCCCCACATACAGACACTCCAGCGCAAATAAAAACTGATCAGTTTTGTAATATTTAACGAGGAGCAGTTGAATAATTTATTCTCTTGGAATGAGTCCAGATTTGAACTTCTTTTGTATCTGACAGCTAAGATAAAGTCCGATCTGACAAATGTAATAATTGACATCACTCCAGGGAGCCTATTTTTGCTGATGTTGGAAAATAGCTGGATGAGTAGCAGGTATTTGGAGCAAGTATTTTTTGGAATTTGTGAGAAAGCAATAACTTTTCATTGGAATCCACCATTATACTTATGAGTTATTGAGTAGATGTTTTTTTGTAGCCTAAATGTTCATACAAAATCTAAATTAAGGAATATTTATCATGAGAGCAATGACAGGAAGCTTTATTCTCTGTCAAAATGAGTACAGACTGGGCCTAAAAATGTATATTTCCATTATTTGTGGGAGTTCTGTTTGTAAAATGAGAGAGGAGAACATTCAAAATTATGCTCTGATATAACGTGTGTGGGCTGATGTTATGCTTGCTGTGTAGCAGCTCACAAGGACACACACATTTTTTACCTTCTATGTTTTCATGGCAAACTAGTTGCCTATTCACACATCGAGGTGAGAAGCAGCAACTTAAGCATTGAAAATAAGTCGTGTTTCTGCCAACTCAATCTTCTTTTAGCTTTGTCTGTCTGCTGTTCAGTTCCAAGGAAGTAGTGTATAGTGGACTTTTTAGGCATTTTTACCTGAAAAACGTCGCCTGTTGTGGCCAAAAAAGCAGCTATGAGAGTGTGAAGCTGACCGTTGAGCGGCCTGACCAAGCAAGGAGGCAGAGGCAGAACGTCCAAAATTATAACCCGGGGTGGGCATTTATTAAAACATGAAAATATTACACACACACAATAATCTGTTCACGTGCCCAGCCTGCGGCCACCAGCAGCTCACACACACTGACTCCAGCAACAAAACACAGCACTTAAATAGACAGACTAATCAAACACAGGTGAGAGAAAACAATTAGACACAGGTGAGGGGGAAGCAAACACAGGGCACCAGGTGAACACAATCGAGTAATCAGCAGGAGGGAACACAGAGACGACCGGAAACAACAGACAAGATGAGGGGTGAACACTTATATAATTAATGCCATTTAATAAATAGCAGTAACGGCGTCTCGTCGTTACAGAGAGCATGAACCTTAACAAAACAGTTGCAGTCTAAAAACCAAAACAATTAGTTGAATGACGCTAAAATACTCAGTAAAACTATAAGGCTGGGTGATATGACGAAAGTCAAATATTGTGAATATTAATAATTGTAATTAAATACCAAATCTATATTGAAGAGGTAACAATACCAGCTTTTCCCTTTATTATTTACACAATTATTATTTGTAACAGACTTTCTTTGAAAGAGACAATGTTGAAAGGGGGAGACTGGGGGATGACTGTGAAAATGGTCAGAGGCTGAACCTGGGTCCTCCGCACTGAGACTAAGCCCCAGTACATGGGACGCCAGCTCTACTAGGGGGCCCCACAATAATATTTTTTTATAAATAACCATCAGTTTTATTGACTGTGTAAAGGCAAATCAAATCAGCTAGAAGGCTGGTGAGTTCAAAAAGTTACCTCACTTTACTGTAGTGAAGCTTTTATAACCAGGTAAAGACAACATAGATATTAAAAAATCTTAGATGTTATTTTGTCTCGCATCATATTATCGATATAATAATGATATATTTAATGTAGTGTAGTGTGATATATAGATGTTTGTGCATGTAAATGGTCTGCAAAGGCTAAAATCCCAAAGTTCCCTCCAGAGGGAAACGCACTCCTTTGGTTACTTCCATAACATAGTGACATCTCTATGTTGTAACACTGTTGCTTCGACATCTTAGCGCTCCAACACATTGTTTGTGATAGGTTAAAGGGCGGGACATCTCTAATCCGTTGACCATTCACAACAGAGCTAGCCAGCTAACCAATCAGAGCAGATTGGGCTCTGGTTTCAGACAGAGGGTGAAAAGAGGTGCTGCAGCACAGGCAGTATGAGACAAATAAAGAGCTTTTTGAACATTAAAACATGGAGACATGTCCCAGTAGAGACACTAAATACTGATATGAACCTGAAAATGAGCAGATAGGGCCTCTTTAACCAGCGCTATGTAAAACTGAGGGAAACTGCAGACTTGGGTGATCATTCTTTGTGGGTTTGTGACTCAGAGGTACAATTGTTTTTGACATACACAGATACTTTTTTAAACACACTATTTGCAGTGAAATGCTTGTATCCTTGCGATTAGGATGGGCGTAATAATGTACTACTACAGAGTTCATAAATCCCAATGATTTCAATACTGTCGTTGGATGCTGTATTGATGTGACTTATTTTACTGCACGTAATGCACTACCAGGTCTGTGCACTACAAAATACAACAACTTGTATTGTTACTTTGTATTGCAGAGAACTAGTAAAATGAGTAGCTGGAGCTACGGCAGACCTAAATATTTGGGAACATGTGTCTTTACAACTGCGATAAATAATGTCCACATGCACAGCTACAATCCAGAGATAATCGCAGCCTAGACGTTGTAATAGGTGGAGGTGAAATGTATGTCGGAGGCTTATGCTGTGTCATGTATCTTTAGCCAGCACTGGTGATTTACCTGCTGTGTGAGGAGGGGGGGTTAGTTGTCTACTGGGACACTGAAGTGTGTGTGTGTGTGTGTGTGTGTGTGTGTGTGTGTGTGTGTGTGTGTGTGTGTGTGTGTGTGTGTGTGTGTGTGTGTGTGTGTGTGTGTG